ATAATTATCCTCGGCTACAAAGATGAATAACATGGGTAATGCCAGTCCAGGGTTCCATAGGCAGTTGCTGGACACATGTTCTTGCAGAAGTAATTTTTGTGTAAGGTTGTGATGGCCTTTGTGCAAGGTTGTGGTTTTTGGCAGTCTTTTTTTTTTTTTTTTTTTAATGAGACAGAGTCTCACTCTGTTGCTCAGACTGGAGTGCAATGGCGCGATCTCAGCTCACTGCAACCTCCACCTCCCAGGTTCAAGTTATTCTCCTGCCTCAACCTCCCAAGTAGCTGGGATTATGAGCACCCGTCACCATACCCGGCTAATTTTTGTATTTAGTAGAGACAGGGTTTCACCATATTGGTCAGGCTGGTCTTGAACTCCTGACCTCAGGTGATCCACCTACCTGGGACTCCCAAAGTGCTTGGATTACAGGCGTTAGCCACCACGCCAGGCCAGTTTGGGCGGTCTTTTGTGACACTTTTTGTTATCAGGAATACAAGCATGAAAACACTCTTCGTAGCCTTCCCCAGCTCTATTTGTAAGAGTTTTTTTTTTTTTTTCTTTTTTCTTTTTAACATTAGTGACTCCATTTTGATTATGACAACTTTCACAATAGCTAATACAGGCCTAAGGTACGAAATGCAAAAGATGCAAAAATGTGTACAGTAAATGTTCACCTCCATCATTTCTGTCCTGAAGACAACAACTTTTCTTGCCTAGAGGATATTTCCACATGTATAAGCATATGGGAATTTTCTTTCTCCTACTTTTACATAAACGATGAAATAATCATCACAGTTTTTTATTTTGCTTTTTTCACTCATCAGTGTTTTATGAGTACATATTGCTCTCTCATTCTTTTTCAATTACTGCATAGTAATTCATTGTTTTTCTGCATGTACTTTTTTTTTTTGAAATGGAATTTTGCTCTTGTTGCCCAGGCTGGAGGGCAATGGCATGATCTCAGCTCACCACAACTTTCGCCTCCCGAATTCAAGCAATTCTCCTGCCTCAGCCTCCCGAGTAGCTGGGATTACAGGCATGCGCCACCACGCCCAGCTAATTTTGTATTTTTACTAGAGATGGGGTTTCTCCATGTTGGTCAGGATGGTCTCGAACTCTCGACCTCAGGTGATTCGCCTACCTTAGCCTCCCAAAGTGCTGGGATTACAGGCGTGAGCCACTATGCTTGGCCTGCATGTACATTATGTAACTAGTTTCTTTAATTAGTTTGCTATTTCCAACAACGCTATAAAAAATTTCCTTAATCATATATCACTTCAAACATCTATGGGTATAACTGTAGGTGAATTCCAAGAAATACTTTTGCTAGATCAAAGAGTTTGTGAATTTGCATTTTTGATAAATATTGTAAAAGTGCTATGCAGAATGGTTGTGCCAAATTTTACTTGCAACAGTAAAGTGTAATAATATTCCCACACCCCTCACTAATTACAGTGTGCTTAACTTTATGTTATCTGCTAATATGATAGGTGAAGTGTGGTGTATCATTATAGTTTTATTTTGTATTTCTCTTTTATGGTATGAGATTAAGTGGGTTTTATATTTACTTACTTTTTCTATTCTGTGAATTCCTCACATTCTTTGACCATTTTCTCTTTCATTATAGATTTTTTCTTATTGATTTATAGTTCTTTATATATTAAGGAAAGTAGCCTTTCATCTGTGATAAGAGTTGCAGAATTATTCTGTTTGCTGTTTGACTTTATGTGTATGTTTTGCTGTGCAGATTTTAAAACTTTTTCATGTAGTTGAAGTTATCCTTCCTTTTTTTTTCCATTATAGCCTCCGAGTATTGTGTTATATTTAGAGAAGCTTTCTCTGGCTGGGCATAGTGGCTCATGCCTGTAATCCCAGCACTTTGGGAGGCCAAGGCAGGTGGATCACTTGAAGTCAGGAGTTCGAGAGCAGCCTGGCCAACATGGTGAAACCCCGTCTCTACTAAAAATACAAAAAATTAGCTAGGCATGGTGGCGGATGCCTGTAATCCTAGTTATTTGGGAGGCTGAGACAGGAGAATGATTTCAACTTGGGAGGTGGAGGTTGCAGAGAGCCGAGATCATGCCATTGCCATTGCACTCCAACCTGGGCGACACTCTCAAAAAAAAAAAAAAAAAAAAGAAGAAGAAGAAGAAGAGGAAAAACTTTCTCTGCTCTAAGACCTCCCATAATGTCTTCTAGCACTTTTATGCTTTCATCTTTTATATTTAATCTTTTATCCACTTGGAGTATTTTGGTGTTAGGCGTAAGAAGTGAATAGGGATCCAACTTTTTTTCCCAAAGGGCTAATCACTGGTCCCAATCACTTTTTGAGTTACTGAGTTTTAAAATCTAGAATGAATGTCGGATTTTGTCAATGATCTGTTAAGCATCTGTGAATATAATAAGATTTTTTTCTCTTTTTTTTTTTTTTT